GCCTGTCAGACATGAAATGCCTCAGAATGTACTATACAGGGGGATATGACTAGTTGTCAACTTCTCTCTATCCAAGGTTATATACCGTGAGCCGTTGTTATTTCTCTCTTGCTTGCTTATATAACGTCTCTTTCAAAAGTCTCTCTCTGTCCTCGTTTTCTAAAACCTTCTCTTAAAACCGAGGCTAGAGGCTCGAGCATACGTCGCTTGGCCGTAGGCGACGCAAGAATGAATTGATTTAGCTCACTTATCGTTGGAAATGAAATGCCTGTCAGACATGAAATGCCTCAGAATGTACTATACAGGGGGATATGACTAGTTGTCAACTTCTCTCTATCCAAGGTTATATACCGTGAGCCGTTGTTATTTCTCTCTTGCTTGCTTATATAACGTCTCTTTCAAAAGTCTCTCTCTGTCCTCGTTTTCTAAAACCTTCTCTTAAAACCGAGGCTAGAGGCTCGAGCATACGTCGCTTGGCCGTAGGCGACGCAAGAATGAATTGATTTAGCTCACTTATCGTTGGAAATGAAATGCCTGTCAGACATGAAATGCCTCAGAATGTACTATACAGGGGGATATGACTAGTTGTCAACTTCTCTCTATCCAAGGTTATATACCGTGAGCCGTTGTTATTTCTCTCTTGCTTGCTTATATAACGTCTCTTTCAAAAGTCTCTCTCTGTCCTCGTTTTCTAAAACCTTCTCTTAAAACCGAGGCTAGAGGCTCGAGCATACGTCGCTTGGCCGTAGGCGACGCAAGAATGAATTGATTTAGCTCACTTATCGTTGGAAATGAAATGCCTGTCAGACATGAAATGCCTCAGAATGTACTATACAGGGGGATATGACTAGTTGTCAACTTCTCTCTATCCAAGGTTATATACCGTGAGCCGTTGTTATTTCTCTCTTGCTTGCTTATATAACGTCTCTTTCAAAAGTCTCTCTCTGTCCTCGTTTTCTAAAACCTTCTCTTAAAACCGAGGCTAGAGGCTCGAGCATACGTCGCTTGGCCGTAGGCGACGCAAGAATGAATTGATTTAGCTCACTTATCGTTGGAAATGAAATGCCTGTCAGACATGAAATGCCTCAGAATGTACTATACAGGGGGATATGACTAGTTGTCAACTTCTCTCTATCCAAGGTTATATACCGTGAGCCGTTGTTATTTCTCTCTTGCTTGCTTATATAACGTCTCTTTCAAAAGTCTCTCTCTGTCCTCGTTTTCTAAAACCTTCTCTTAAAACCGAGGCTAGAGGCTCGAGCATACGTCGCTTGGCCGTAGGCGACGCAAGAATGAATTGATTTAGCTCACTTATCGTTGGAAATGAAATGCCTGTCAGACATGAAATGCCTCAGAATGTACTATACAGGGGGATATGACTAGTTGTCAACTTCTCTCTATCCAAGGTTATATACCGTGAGCCGTTGTTATTTCTCTCTTGCTTGCTTATATAACGTCTCTTTCAAAAGTCTCTCTCTGTCCTCGTTTTCTAAAACCTTCTCTTAAAACCGAGGCTAGAGGCTCGAGCATACGTCGCTTGGCCGTAGGCGACGCAAGAATGAATTGATTTAGCTCACTTATCGTTGGAAAGTGAGTGCCGCACAATCGCAAGTCCACCGCCATCAAAAGTGACACTCCACTCCTTCACCCAACTTTTTAATGACCAATAACTTTCATTTATGAGATTAAAATGTTCCTTCTCACTTCTATTGCCAAAATGGTGCAATAGATATCCACCCATTTCAATTAAAAATTAAGGGTTTATAAGGTTTTAGGAATTTTTTTCTATTTTTTAATAAATTATTCGTGTCAAAATAATATTTGTAATAATAGATCATTTTCATTTTTCAATATAATTTCTATTAATAACGAAAAATATCTTAATAAATCTAATAATATTTTATAAAAAATATAATATATACCTCCCATAAATTCCAAAAATTCAATTTTTAATATTATAATACAATCTTTTAATAATATTATTATTATATTTTTTAGAAAATAAAGGATTAAATCGTAAAAAGTTCCGTAATTTTTCACTCAACAATTGGAATTTTGGAATAAATAAAAATAATAAAAATAATCAGAAAATAAAAAAGATTTAAACAGAGCGTTGGCATTTTCATTTTTCAATAAATCTTCAATTACGCAGTCTGCAGATTGGGGGTAAAGATCCCTGCGCCCATTAATGGCGGACGACGATGGAGCTTCATCGATCCCTAATTCCATCCCTCCACATCCTTCAGACTCGAGCCTCCACAAGAAGCACGCTTCAGTTATTGAACGTCTCGCCAATCGCAATCAGACTCGCTTAGAGAACTCCATAACCCGCAGATCGGAGTCGGATTCCTCTTCCTCTTCCACATCCTCGTTTCTCGTCCGCTTTTCTGACTCCAAGCGCGCCATCGAGTCCGACCTCGCCCAATGCCGCCTCACTCCGCCGGAGCCCTCTCAAGTCAGATCTCACCTCGACGGGATTTCCGCCTCAATCTCCGACCTCGAAAAGCTCGTTGCCGAAACCTCTTACTCCTTGCCTTCGTATGAGGTACGAGCTTCACTCAAATCGATTTCGGAGTTGAAGCAAAGCCTCGAGGATTTAAATTCCGAGTTGCTACCTAAAAAGAAATTCTCATTCAAGAACAAAGGCACGAAGAAAGATACTAAGTCGGAATCTAAAGACCTAGGGCTTGGAAATGCCGGTTCTATGTTAACGAACAAACAGCAGCAAGCGAGTTACATCGCTCGAGATTCTCCAGGAATCAGAGACAAGGATGGCGAGGTTCTGGTAAAGAATTTCAAGGGATCGGATGTTGGGGAGTTTACCATCTCGGGTCTTAGTTCATGCGAGGTCAAATTGATTGGTAGCGTTAGGGCGTTATTTATTCATAAACTAAGAAACTGCAAAGTTTATACGGGACCTGTAATGGGTTCAATTCTAATCGATGATGTTGAGGGGTGTACATTTGCAATGGCTTCCCATCAAATTCGGATTCACAATGCGAAGAACAGTGATTTCTATCTTAGAGTCAGGAGTAGACCGATCATTGAAGATAGCAGCAGCGTTCGATTCGCGCCATACTGTGTGAGTTACGAAGGGATTGAGGAAGATCTCAAAGATGCGAGCCTCGGCGAGGAGACAGGAAATTGGGAGAATGTAGATGATTTTCGTTGGTTGCGAGCGGTGCAGTCGCCGAACTGGTCGATTCTGGCGGAGGGTGAGCGAATTGACACCGTCAAAATCTCATCTACAGAGGGTTGAGCTCTTAAGAGTTAAGTTTCTCATCTCTACTTGTGATAAAAAGTTTATTTGAAAGTTTTGTTCGTTTATCATAGAGAAATTTAATCAGATGACATCGGTTGATTTTGCTGTGCTTGTGTTGTGTTAGTATTATATCCGAAACTGGGAATTCTAGCAGATTCTTTCGTTTACAATTGGTTGATTTTTAAGAAATCTTTCTTGGTCTTGCTGTTTTTCTGCCTTTGAGTGACTTGCCATTGCCACTTGACAACTTGGTTTTTCATATCATTAGAATTTTTAGTTGTATGAATGAAAAATTATATTGAGGAAATATGATGTGCAGGCTCTCTCTCCCTCTGGGTATGTGCTAGAATCTCGTAGTTAGTTAGTGTATCATTGCTGGTAGATATTGTTCTCTTTAGGCTTCCTTTATGGACTTCCCCTCAAAATTTTTAAAATACCTAAGAATAGGTTTTCACACCCTTATAATGAATGTTTCGTTTCCTTCTCCAACCAATGTGGGATCTCACATTCTACCGTCTTGGGGGCTAGCGTCCTCGTTGGCACACTACCCAATGTCTGGCTCTGATACCATTCGTAACAGCCCAAGCCCACAGCTAGTAGATACTATCCTCTTTGGGCTTTCCCTTCCGGACTTCTCCTCAAGATTTCTAAAATGCGTTTGCTAGGGAGAGGTTTCCATACCCTTATAAGGAATGTTTCGTTCCCCTCTCCACTCGACGTGAGATCTCACAGTTAGTCCCAAATTTGGATAGATTATGTGTAAAAAGTATTGGAAAGAGTTCAAAGGGTGATCATTTGCACATCTGATAGATATCGTAAGAGGACACAAGCATTGAGTCGTACTGCAATCTAATGAAAGCTTAAGGTAAAAAATGATTTGGCAATTACATCGAACAAAATAGATGTCATGATATTTTCTTGAATCCAAAGCTAGAATTACTTTTTTTTTTACAGGATTGTCTCGTAGAAGATTGAACCTACCATTGGTTAGAAGAGGCTTTGATGTACCAAAGTGAGCATAGCTCAGGTTAGAGATTCAAATCTCCGTACTCCACTTCTTAAACTTAAAAACAAAGAAGAAATATTGATGTTTAGTCATTTGTGTTACGCTTTGGTTAGTAAGTAGATTTGCACGTGGAATAAATTACATTTATAGTAGTACAGTATAAGATAAGAGCTCGGATCGGGAAAGCTGGTTAGAAAACGAGTGAATTAGTGTGTAATACAATGTTTGCTTGACAGCCTTCTAATGTTAATGTTTATAGGAAGGGGCATAAATTGGCCAAGTTTGTACTCTGAATGTGCTAGCTCAAGTTTGGTACTAGTTTACATACGGAAGAACACAAACAACATATTTTAGTGGATTAGAAAAACCATTGTTCTTTCTAGTTGATATCGGATTAGCTTCAAACATTTTGTTTGAAAATTTGTTCAGAAAGTTGGTAAAATTAATTCGATCATTAACAAAATTGTTCTTCCCCTTAGCTTGACCTTATATAGAGAGTATCTCTGCAACCCAACATCTTTCTGAACTGAGTTGTTTTGCATTTGAACTGGGAGATGCCTCATGTTTTTGTGTCGTGAAATGAAAGTCGAGCTATGTCCCATGCAGATTTAGTGCGCTCGAGTTTCTGATTGGTGACTTCAGCGAGCGGTCGATTAAATTATACACAATACTCCAAAACTTTGGAATATGCTTCAATCGTATCCTTTAACTTTGAACAAGTTTAATTTTTCCATCTAATTTGAATCACTTTTAAAATATCAACTTTTAAATGGATACGAATAATAGTCTGTGTAAGGATTAGAATATTTATGTGGTATTATCTTGAATCAATGGTCATTACTATTTATTTAATCTAAAAAAAACGTTATCAAATTTTCATGTAAAACTAAAACTTTTGGAAGTTTAGGACGCTAATATTTGGTTTTTTTTTTTTTTCAATTTTCTTGTTCTTTTAACATTTAAATTCTAAGTCGGTCCAAAAACTAAAAATAACAAGTTTTTTAAAATATTGGTAAAAAGTTGATAAATAAATCAAGAATTCCTTATCATAATCTTCAAAAATAGAAAATTAAAAAGCAAAATTATTATCATGAGTATTAAAAAGTTGAGCAATCATTATTCATACTTCTATTGGCATCTGAAATAGGAGACATTGACATATTTAACAGTTTGTAACGCATATGATAATTGTCCACCAAAAGGCTGTCCTTAGTCTTGTCAAATGTTGTTTTTTTTGTCTCTCTCCATTGTCAATTTCTTACAAATTTTGAATTCTATTTCTAAGGTTTTTCATATACGAATAAGGATATTGTTAAGTATAGGAAATTTGGTTAACCCTAATCTTAATTAGAAAATTTGTATTTAGAACCAAATGATCAATGGCAAACCATCCCTAGTAATCAGTAGCGGGGTGAGGTCGATGGTCTCTGGTGGGCCGTAGCAATGGTCAAGAACAGTGTTGGTCATTGGCAATAGACACGAGAGAAGTACAGTTTCATATATTATGAAAATTTGAGAACGATTCACAATTAAACCATTCTCAAAACTTAAATCAAGAAATTACCCACTGACTCAATCCATAAACCAATCAAAATTCAATCAACAAAACACTTGTCACAATCGCACTTTTGACAGTAGCGGACTTGCAATTGTGCGGCACTCACTTTCCAACAACAAGTGAGCTAAATCAATTCGTTCTCACGTCGCCTACGGCCAAGCGATGTATGCTCAAGCCTCTGACATCGGTTTTAGAAAACGAGAGCAGAGAGAGATTTAGAAAGAGGTGTTATATATGCAAGCAAGAGAGTAACAACAACGGCTCACAGTATATGACTATTAGTAAGGAGAAATTGATTGAACCAAGAAAACTATTATCCATAAACGAAATGCAATAATCTTTTTATCGAGTATGAAAACAAATGGGTGAAGAAGCAAAAAAAGAAATGCAGTTGGTATTGTGGAAAGGTAGATAAAAAGGGATAGCATTTGACATTTAGATATCAACACAAACAAGAACATGTTGGTCCCATGTGGGCAGCCACCACCTTAAATAAACCCTTCTTACTTCCCTATATAAACATATGCTTTGTGTTCTTCATGAACCTCAAAAACCTGAAACATGGGAAGATCTCCTCCTTCTTCTTCTTCTAATCAAATTGGCCTCAAACGAGGTCCTTGGACTCATGAAGAAGATCACAAACTTGTCTCTTTCATTACAAAACATGGCTATGGCAGCTGGCGATCCCTCCCCGTTCTCGCCGGTATAACCCTTCCTTCCCCCCTATCCCGTCCCAAAGATTATGTATTCGTCAACGTCACGTTTTGTCATTTTGAGACGTTGTTGACTCCGTTTTGATAGTCTCCATTGTCTAATTGGGACATGCATCAAGTTTCATCTTCGTTCCTCGTTTGAATTTGTTTTCAGGGCTTAATAGATGTGGGAAGAGTTGTAGACTGCGATGGGCAAACTACCTTCGGCCTGATATCAAGAGAGGAAAGTTTTCTCAACAGGAACAACAAGTCATTCTCGATCTCCATTCAATCCTTGGAAACAAGTAATTAACGTATATTATAATATCTATTTCTCAATTTATCGGTATAATAATTTTTTTTTTTTTATAATAATCTCTATGGTACTTTTTGGTGGAAGATGGTCCGTCATTGCAAGTCACTTACCGGGACGAACGGATAATGAGATAAAAAACTTCTGGAATACCCATCTCAAAAAAAGGCTCATTAAAATGGGTCTTGATCCCGTCACGCACATGCCTGCAATTTACGATAATACCCTCTCCGCTCATCATCTTCCTCCACCAAATCTCGAAAACTTTCTCCTTTTTCATCTACCTACATTGAAACAACAACTCGAAGCTCTTCAAATGGCAACTTTACAAGGTATATAGATTAAATTAGACGCTTAAAAGCTCAGACACTAAATTTATAGAGCCGCGGAGTAAATTTAATTTATTTATTTTTTATCCATGTTCTTTAACAGAATATTTACAGCTTCCCCAACTTCCACCTCCTCCCTTTACACCCACTTTCCACCTCCAATATGATCGGAATATGTCAGGCCCTTATGCCAATTTGCCGGACTTGGAGGTATTTGGAGCCTCGGATGATCCAACGTGGACGGCAGTTTCCGGCGACCAAAACGGAGCTTCCATGTGGGTTTCTTCTTCATCTTCAAATGCTCCGTCGCCACTTCCGCCGGTGGAAGCCAACTCAGAATCAGAATCAGCCCCGTTGACCGACGAGCTGATGTTCAACGATTATTCGTTGTTTAGTGACATCGATCCCTAGTTCTTTGTTTTGTTTTTTTTGTTGTTTTTTTTTTTTTTTTAATTTCTTAAATGTTGCGAAGAAATAAAAATAGCTGAGATTATAGATTTGTATAATATGAATATATGATCCATTAATTATATGTATTTTTTTTCCCCAATTCTTTGGATAAAAAAATTCTTAATTTCTATTATTTATTTATTTATTTCATTTAATAATAAGAACTTTATAATAAATTCTTAAACTTTATCAATTTTATTTGAAAATTTTAAAAATTAATAAACATATGAGATTCAAAATTCAATTTTATATTTAATATAACTCAATATTTCAATTTGATAAAGTTTTTATTTGAAAATGTATCGTTTTCAATTTTATACGAAACCCTAAACCCTAAATAAAATAATAATTTTTTTTTTTACGCCACATGCACAGGATTTGAGTAAAGATTCGATACCTGATGATCCTGACATTTTCCTACAACATAGTCATGTTACCTACTCATTGCTTCTTAAAAATGAAAACTATCCCCACAGACCAACCCGAATCATTTCAGCATGCTCTCACTTACCTGCATCCTAGGAAAATTCAGAGAGGTCATCCAACATAGAATTGTTTCAAGTAAAGCACGTTTAACTATGAAGTAAGCTACCGTAAAGGAAGGTACACCTTGTAGGTATAGGTAGTACATTTCATTATCTTTAAGTCTTTCTTAGCCATCTTATCCTCAGGATCACTCTCATTCAGTATCGATTTATTCATATACTCCTCCATTACTCGAGTGTCACATTTTTTAAAATGTTTTATTTTTCCAACTCGCTTATTTTTTTATTAGCCCTTTTTGAAATTGCAACAATTTTGTTATTATATAAAGAGAAATGTTTGAAAAATGGGTGAAAATGATTAAATTAATAATGAAGACAAAATTTGTTGTTTCATGTTTCCTTTGTTCAAACCTTATTGAAAGGATTAATTAGAAGCTTCATTAGATTAAAAATCCCATTAATTATTAATTAATTTCAGCCTCTCACTAACCCAACCACTCAATTTGGATCCAAAAGTCAACACCTCAATTATAAATGTCTCACCTTTATTTTATTTTAATTACTAAATTATGCAAATTAATTTTTTTAATATTAATTTTAAAAAGGGGTTGACAAAAAATTTCCTTTCCCAAAAAGTAGTGGGAAAACATTTGTTCATAATATTCTTCATTTAATTTTTAAGAAAATAAGTTAAATTACATTTTTAATTAAAAAATATATATTTTATCCCTATTATTAAACTTTTAATTTCATGAAAATAAATACAAATACAAATTTTAATTTTAATTTATATTCGATATATTGATGAATTTTATATAATAATAAATATAGTCTCTGAACTTTTAATATTTTTTAAAAGTAAAAATAAAAACTATTAAACACGAAGTTAAAAGCTAATAATTTTGTTAATTTAAAAAAAATTAAATATATAATCAAACTTATTTGATATTTTGAACGATTATTTATAAAAATAATTTTTTTAAATTTAGATTAAATTATTTGTAAATTTATTAAAATATATCCTAGCTGATCTCACGTCCACGTAAGCATTACAACCTCCCATATGAACAAAATGAAAATTTTAAAAATAACTTAGAAATGTGAATAATTTTCGTATGATCATCACGTTAAGAAAATCTTACAATATCTCTCGTCACAGTAAAGCAAGGAGAAAATAAACGGATTCATCGAAGGCTACTTAAGGCACTCTAGTGAAAACCGGTGGGACTGGAACTGTTGTATCTTACTCAGTGTTGCTATAATTGAAGAACTAAAAAGTTACGTATCGAACTTCTTTCGAGATCTAATTCTTTCTGTTTACGCGAAGGTTTCCTTTATCGACTGATTCCACTGTCATAGGGCTCTCTTGAAATTGGAAAGTCATTCGATCCTCAAGCTCAAGCAATTTAAAGTTTTGATTTCTATGATTTTTTTTGGAATGGCAGAAGCTACAACTCAGTGACCAGAAACTTATAGCGGTTTCGTCGTCGTTGTCGTTGTCTTCTTCAACTAATAAATGTGGAGGAACGTCGTTCGCCATTTCGTCTCGTTCCCATTCTT